TTTCCTCTGCTTATGGACAGGAGGGAGAAGTTGATGGTGAAGGCAGGCGGCGCTGGGTCTGTTCCTGGAGGGGGCGTGGTTAACAACAGCCGAGCCCAGGGTTCTCTGCTGACTGACCCCACGTGGTAGATTTGGAAAGAGCCGGAGCCAGGGGTCAGGAGGGCTGGAGTGGGTATCATGACCTCAAGGCAGGAGGGTGGGTTGGACTCTGGATCCAGGCTGATTAGGGTTGAATCCTTGTCAGGCTCCATCACCCCTCTGGGCCTCAATCTCCCCATCTCTAAAATGGAGATAAAATCTCTCCATCCCATAGGGTTGTTGCCAGCTGAGCAAGTTGATCTATATTGAGTGCTTAGGGAGGAGACTGGCAGACAGTAAGCATTTTATGACTTTGCTGCTCTTATTACCAACCACGTGCCGTTGGGCCTGTCACCTCCTTCTGTTTCTGCAGTAGTGAAACAGACATCTCAGACCCGCCCTTGCAGACATGCAGGAAGAGACAAATGAGGCAGGGCTGGGAAATCACCTGCAGGGGCTTCCCCAGGCTGAGAGGGGGTCATCCCTGGAGTACGGAGCATGGTCAGGGTCCGGGGTGTCCTCCGCGCTGATTGGAGGCGGCACGTGACCACTGGGTTTGCATCCTGGCTGTGCTTGGGCAAGTCACCTCCCTGAGGCTCAGTTCCCCGTCAGGCAAAACAAGAAATCGCCACTTGCCTGGGGTGGGTGAAGGAGGCGTGGCTGGCTGGAGCTTAATGTGGCCTCTCACATGGAGAGACTGAGATTTTAAGATTCTGGGACCCTTGTCTACCTTCTCTCTGCTTTCAAATCCTGCTCTCAGAAAGCCTTCCCATTTGAATGGGACTTATAAATTATTTATTGATGTCTGAACTGATAACAATTGAATGGCAGAAATCAAGGCTTTTGGATAAGGATGGCTGCATTAAGTCAAAAGAATCTCTCTCAACTGTGGGCTTTCCCACGCCGTGCGGACCTGGGAAGGGAGGTGGCTGGGATCGTGAGAGGACGCTGCCCACGTGGGCCTGGAATCCCAGTTCTGGCCCGTTTCGGGGTTGGCGGCTGCAGTGAATCCGCTTACTTCTCAGAGCCCTGGTTTCTTCATCTGCAAAACTGTAGGGAGCGGTGTCCACGCGACAGAGCTGTTGGGAAGTGCCTCCAAGTGTGGGTCTGGCACGTAGCAGGTGCTCCGTAAAGATTACTTTCTTTCCACCCTCTCTCCCCACAAACAGCACGAAGCCCAGGTTCATGGCTGTGCTGAGGCCCTGGGCGAGGTCGCACTGAGCAGGTGGGTTCATCACGGCTCCGCACCTGCCTGGTCAGAGCCTCTCGGAACCTGGGTCGGGCGGCGTCCCTGGGAACAGGTGAGAAGAGCGGTTTCCCAAATTGCCCAGCTTGAAGCCTGGCAAGTAAGAAACACTAAACAAAGCTCCCCTGGGTTTTGGTCACTGTTTGGAGCTTTCATTCATTCGTTCGTTCGTTCGTTCATTCATTCATTCATCTATTCATTCAACAGATATTTACTGAGTGCCTGCTATGTGTCAGTAATATCCGGGGACATGACAGGGCACGTGACAAAGTGTTGCCTTCAAAGGCATTATGTTGTGGAGGCAGCAGGAGTGGTGGGTGTGGTGTGGGGAACAGACAATAAATCAGTCTCAAAAGGCAGGAGGGCTATGGGGAAAACCGAAGTGGGGAAGTTTCTGTCTGCACCTCCCAGTGGTGCTTGTAATTCCATCAGATATAATCATTCTAATACTACCATTCAGTTACGCAGCAGCCACGTGCCAGGTGACCGCTACGTCTTCTCCCAGTGGGTGAGATTCACAGGTACAGAAATCTAGGTTCAGAGAGGCCCAGTGACTTGCCCGAGGTCACCCAGCTTCTGGCAGGGTGGGGTTGGAAGTGAGGTCTGCTCATTCATTCATCGTTCACGCACTGTCATGGGGGGTGCCCCCTCATGAACCCCAAGTCTGGCTGGGGAGCCAGGTGCTGGATCAGCCCCCTGTGCTTGCCTCTGGGTGAGGCTGTGTCCTGCAGGGCGTCACGGAGCATGACGAGGTGAAATGTGATAATAACAGCAGTGATGCTGGTGGGTACGGAGCGCTCACCCCGCGCTGGGCGCTGTGCTCGGCACAGAATCTTCCCCGGGTTCTGGGGTTCGGTCCGCTCACTAGCCCTTGATATATTGATGCTGTTATCATGCCCATTTCACGGAGGCAGCAACTGAGGCTTAAAGAGGTTAACAGGCCTGACATGAGTGACACCACCAGCCCACCACCCAGGGCGGCTTCCCTGGTGGTCAGTGAGGAGGGGGATGTGGGAGAGCCTGGGCAGTCCAAGTCTAACATGATGGGCAGGGCCCACATCAAGGTCATGGCAGGAGTCAGCAGTCAGCCTTTAGCATCTGGAAGCACTGGACGTGAGCAGCCAGTGCCTGGTCCCCGAGAGCTCAAAAGCTGTGAATATTGGTCTCTGTGTTTCTCAGGGACAGTGGGTGCGGAGGTGAGGGCCAGCTTGTGGGGAGGGGGCTTTTGGTCTGGTCTGGAGGAGCACCCTGAGCTCAGGGCAGTTGCATGTGCGCAGGGTGCAGCTGCCTGTCCCCATCCACCTTGGGATGTGCTGGGGACCCCAAGTGGGAACAGAGGCCACCGCCATTCTGTTGTGTTCGATCCGTTGTCTTTCCCTGGGCATCTGCACTGCCCAGGGGCTCAGACCTGGGGATCACTACCCTCTGGGCGGTGGAGTCCACGCACAGAATGGCGACAAGGAGTGTTGGGCTGGCAGCCAGAGCGCTGCCCCCAGCCCCACCCGGGGAGGAGCCTGGGGGAGGGCACGTCTCAAGTGGCAGGTCTGGCTCCCACAGCCCTCAGTTTGCTGCTCTGTCCTGGGTCTGGTAAAGGCACACGGTCTCCCTTCAGCTGCCGGCGGGGCCGCTGCCACTTGCGGTCATTTGGTTCCTGGGGACGGTTCTTGGTCTGCGCGGGGTGTCCGGAGGCCAAGTGGGCAGCTCGGCCCTGCTGCCCGCCTGTTGGGCGGCCTGGGCGGGCCAGACTTTTCTCTTGGCCTTCATGTCTTCAACAAGTGAAGACCCCTGCTCCTTCCCTTACAGGCCTCTTAGAAGGAACCGTTACCGCCACCAACCATAGAATTGCGATGAATCTGGTCTCTAGGGTCACTCTCTCGTGCCATGCTCCTTGCTCAATGCTTTGCCTTTTTAATTTTTTCTAGTCCTCTTGACCTCCCTAAATAAAGTAGGTGGTTGTCATCCTATTTTATAGTGGAGGAACTGGAGCCCAGAGCAGTTAGGTAACTCACCCAAGGCCACCCAGCTAGAAAGTGGTGGGACGGGGACCCCCTCCCCCGGGCCTACTTGCTGTGCACCCTGCGTCTGATTACTCTTTCCCTGGTGTCCGCGATCTCACTGCTGGCTGTCTCCTTGGGTGTAGTCTTTTCTTGTGTGTTTGAGGCACAGTCGTGTGAGCTGGTGCCTGGGGACTGAGGCTCAGAGGAGAAGGAACTTGTCCAGGTCTCAGTCAGTCAGGGGCAGAGCTGGGATTTGAACCTGGCATTTGGGCTCCAGAGTCCCTGTGTTAACAGGGCTGCCAGTAGATGCCAGAGCCAGGCGGTGGCACGGTGAGGCCGTCTGTCCAGCAGGTGCACAGGCCTGTGTGTCCGCAGGTAGGTGGGTGGTGCCTGGGGGCGGGGGTCCGGGCTGCTTGTGTCTCAGCGGCCTGGGTGAGGGGGCCCGTGGGGTGAGTGAGGGGTGGGTGAGAAAAGGTCTGCCTGAGTCTGGCTCACAGGGACCCGGGGCTTGAAGCAACTTGGAGGTTGCTGTCTCCCCTGCCTCCTCGGCCACCCCCTCCCCAGCCTCCTGAAGCACTTCCTCCAGACTGCTCCCTTCCTTCCGGGCCTCTCCCTGCGGGGCGCTCGCTGAGCCCGGCTCGGGGCACACCTCACGCGGGGCGTGGGTCCCCTCCATCCCGGGCAGGGGTGCCACTCTGACCCAGGGAGGCCGGGTGGCGCAGATACTGCACCAGGCCTGGGTGACTCCCTGCCTAGGTCCCGGCTCCTGCACCAGCTGCTCAGGACCCTTCCGCCCCGCTTACTGCCCCAGCGCCATCCTGCAGGGCTGGGGTAAGTCCTTCCTGGTGGTTCCCAGACTCCCGGCAGGGCTGTCCCCACAGAACGGGAAGACCTGCAGAGGGGCATCCCCCCACCTGCCCGCGGGTGGTCCCCTCTCCCCTCTGCCACCCTCGTCTTCTGTGTCGCACTGAAGCCGAGGAGGCAGGTCCTGGCTTTGTCGGGAGATGCTCACAGCCTAGAGGGGGCCCCGGAGCAGAGGAGGGGACAGACCTTTACACGGCAGGTGACACACAGCAGCGATAGCAGAGCCACCAGCACAGGAGCTGCCGTGCCAGGCAGGTGCGATGAGCCAGGCTGGGAGCCGAGTGCTTTCCACTGACAATAAGAATCTCTTGTTCCCTGTCATCCCCGTGGAAAAGGGACGATGGCTGTGTCCCTGCTTCACAGCGAGGAGACTGAGACACAGGGAGTGGTGCTAAGCATGCGCTCTGCTGCTGAGCTCTGCCCTCCCCGGGCCTCTGGCTGCAGGGCCCGTGTACCGTGTAGGTGTTTAGAAAGCTGCTTTACAGTGTGTCACCAGGTGCTGTGAGTGTTGCGCATGTGCACGGCCACGGCCACGTCGGCGTGGTGGAGAGCGAGTGGCAGTCCGCAGAGGGGTCCCTCGTCTGACCTGGACGCCTGCACACTCCCGTCCCCCTCTGCCCGGTCGACTCCCCGAGGGCTTTCAGCGACTGGGGAGGGGATGTGCGTCGCTTGATGGGCTTGCTCGGGACAGAGCATTCTCGGACTCAGCAGTGGGCGCTCGGTCAGTCCGCACAGCCCCTCCGGTGAGCTCAGCCTCCCGGCTCATCCCAGGGCGCCCGGGCCTGAACCCCGTCTCTCCACTCTCGTCCTCACAGGGAGCCGGGAGGCTGCCTTCACCTACGCCATCATCGCGGCCGGCGTGGCCCACGCCATCACCGCGGCCTGTACCCAGGGCAACCTGAGCGACTGTGGCTGTGACAAGGAGAAGCAAGGCCAGTACCACCGGGACGAGGGCTGGAAGTGGGGTGGCTGCTCTGCTGACATCCGCTACGGCATCGGCTTCGCCAAGGTCTTTGTGGATGCACGGGAGATCAAGCAGAACGCCCGGACCCTCATGAACTTACACAATAACGAGGCGGGCCGAAAGGTAGGTGGCCAGGGAGGGGCGCCAGGCGGCTCTCGCAGAGACGCTGCAGGGCAGCTCTCCTGGGGCTCCGGCGACGGGCGCAGGGCTCTGCCCTTGGCCTCCTGCTGCTTGAGTCTGTTGTTGATTTGCTGTTGGTCAGGATTTCTGCGTGGCATGGAGCTTGTCAGTTACCAAAGAAGTTGAATCATTGAATGTCTGTTAAAACATACTGAATGTAACTCAGGAAGATGGAAAGAGGGGCGGATGTCAACTCTCATACTTGGGCCACAAAATCATTTGTGCCAGACTCATTGTGGGGAGGGGCTGAGGTGAGTTCAGTAGGAGTCACCCCTGTGAAGTGGCTGCCAGGGTTGGTCACCTTAACCAAGATCTGGAGCTCAGAATAACGGAGGTGACTGTTCCCTCTTCATTGCCTCCTCAGATCCTCCTAGATTCTGGGTTCAGCTTAGAAGAGTCAGGGACATCCCAGGATGTCCTAGTAGGGGCAGCTGGGTTAGAAATGGGTCTAGACAGCTCATCCCCTGAGGAGCTGGCTGTCTAAGGGCAAGGGGGCAGATGGGTCTGTGGACACAGAGTGCATGAGGGCCTATGGGGTGGGAAGGTGTCACAGGAGAGCAGGTCCTGCCAATGTGAGGACCGACACAGCCACTGAGACCCAGATTAAGTTACCAGGGAAGGAGTGAGCTCCCTTTCCTGGGAAGTATTTGAGCAGAGTCAGCTTAACCAGGCATCTCAGGGCACCCAAGTCAGTGCTGCCTGGCTCAGGCGGCGTCCTGGGCTGAGGCCTGACATTGGGAGTGGGCTCCAGAAGTGCCTGTAAATGCCGAGATGCTCAGAGCCTACCATGGAGCCCGCAGGCCCAGGTGATACTGGGAGAGGAAAGGCTCTGACGTTGGCTCTGTGGTCCAGGGCACATGGGGAGGGGGACTCGGTGCCATCTGGGTGGGGGTGGACCTCTGCAGTGATGGGGTGCATGTGGGCATCGGTGGGGCCACAGACTCGGGTGCCCAGGAGGCCAGGCAGGAGCACCAGCGATGACAATGGGGAACTGTGCCCAGGGCTGTGGATAGCCTGCCCCCGTCAGACACACAGACCCCATCCATGCAGTGCCCACTTGGCTCCGGCCATAGCAGCTATGTGGGGAGCTGGCCCAGGGTGGCCGCATCCTCTGTCCTGCGGCTCAGATTTTCATGCGCAGGTACTTCTTGTTTTACGTGCTGGCATTTAAAACTGGCAGCCAGCAGTAACAAAAAATACAGAAAAAGGGAAAAAGAAAGATGTCCGCGCTAGGGCTCAACGCCCCCATGCTGGCTAAGGCTGGGCCTCAGGGTGCCCACTCGGATGCCTGGTGGTCCTGTTTCCCTAGAGCACATCCGTGGGCCAGCCACCTCCTGGCTCCGGAAGTATCAGCTCCCTTAATCCTCCCGGCGTCCTGGGGTAGCATTGTTATCCCATTTTGCAGGTGAATAAATTGAGGCACAGAGTGGTTAAGAAATACGGTAATCGAGGGCAAAGGCAGAATTTGAAGCTTGGCATCTGGCTTTGGAGTTGGCATTGTTTGCACAAGCCGGACCGCTGTGTCGCGGTGGTCGGACCGCGGGTTGGCACTGTGCTGCGTGGGTTCAGGTCTCGGCTCTGCCACTCATTTCTTCCTGGGAAAGTGGCAGAGCTGGCAGGAGTGTCCTTGGGCTGAGCCGAGGAGGGGCGGGGAGGAGGCAGGAGAGCACTTACCCCAGAGCCTGGCACACAGCTGGTCCTCAGCACGGGGTGGGTGTGACCACAGAGCCCACAAACTCGTGTCCTACGGGAGGGAGCTGTCTGGTGGGTGGGGTTGGGGGGTGGCCTGCACACCGGGGAGTGGGGAGCAGGCCCCTGGCTTGCAGATACTCTCCAACTTCCTCTGCAGCCTCCGGCCACATCTGGCCTGTCAGAGCCTCCCAGGGGGCCACAGTGAGTCACCGAGGCAGGCCGCTCACCTGGCCTGCCCAGAACGATGGCTTGAAGTAAATTGCAAGGCCCTGCCTGTTCGGTCCTGTGGCCGGGAGCTGCTGCTTGGCGCAGTCCATCCCTCCAGAGTTCTCAGCTGGTCGTTCCTCCCAGTGTCTGTGGTTGGATCACTCCCCAGGGCTGAGGTCACAGGCTCCCTCCTGCCCTTGACGCTCTCATCCCTGGGGGAGGACCGGACAGGGACAAGTGGCTTCCGTCTCCCAGCCTGTTTTCTCGTGTGTGGCTGCCTGGTTAGGCCACAGTGGGAGATAAAGGCAAGTGTGCCTGGCCTGGGGTGAGGAGGCTCTGGTCCACACCAGGTGGGAGAGGGTTTTCTGAGCCGCCAGCTCCAGCAGGCGTGTGGGCCGTGGTTGCCGCTCTGGGCAGCTCGTGGGTGATGCAGGTGGTAGGAGCTGTCAGATGTCGTAAGAGCGACCCCAGGGGGCTTCCTGGAGCAGGTGGGCCCCAGAAAATGAGTGAAGTTTGGCTCGGCAGAGGAGAGAGGCGAAGGCAGCCCTGGTCTGGTGTGGAGACGTAGTGGCCAAGGCCGGGAGGTGGGGGCTTGGGCCAGTTCAGGGGCCCAGAGTGGCTGGGCTGCAGGTCCCTGAAGGGGTCAGAGCAGCTGGGCACCCACAAGGTCACCTGCCAGGCCAGGGTTCTCCCCCAGACCTTCCTGTGGCTGCCCTCCCCGACTGCCCAAGTTCCACCTCAGGATGTCCCCTCCTCAGAGAGGTTTCCCTTTCAACCTCCTCCTCCCTTCCCAGGCAGTGCCTTGCTCTGGGCCTCCTCCCCTCCCTGGATTATAAGCCTGATCAGGATCAGGACCTCATGCATCTCGTTCACAGCTGCACCCCGGGGCCTGGTGTACAGAGGCGCTCTATATAAGAGTGAATGGTTGAGTATTGTCTGGTCACTGGGGAGGCACTGATGAGCAGGGAAGGGCAGAAGTCACAGAGACTGACTCCAGAGCAGCAGAGTGAGGCCTTGGGCAGAGCCAGAAATGGGGCTTGGGCATCGTGGCGGAGTGCAGGTTGGGCCTGACTTGATATTTCTGAGTAAGAGTGGCTTTCCCAGCTCAGGGATGCCCTGCACCACCACCACCATTGACAGCCCAGCTCCACTCTGGTTCGGGAAGGCACTTGAGGGTGGCTTCCTGGAACAGCAGATCAACCAGGCACTATATATTTTCTAGAGCCACGACGTAGAATTTGGGACTCCCCAGTGTGTACAGGCAAGGCCTGACTAACCCCTAATTGGGCCTCTTTGTGGTACGAGGGTGCAAGCAGTGGCCAATCGCTCAGCCAGAGCATGACAGGAAGGTGGTCTCCCAGCCTAGCCCCTCACCTTCTGCCCTGGGGCACCCCAAGGGCCCAGACGCATAGCCAAGCATCAGGAGCAGGGCAGCTGCTCAGCCTGGGGAAGATAGGGCTTGGTGTATATCAGCTCTGGGCTCCATCCCTTTTGGGGGCCTCAGTTTCCTCATCTGTCAAATGGGATTATAATCCTAGATTTGTTCTACACCCCCAGTGGCAGTTGAGGGCATACATGGGAGACCCCGGGACCCTACCACGAGCCACTGATTCAAAGGCATGGAACCCCATCCCAGAACCCCCACCCACAAACAGGCTTCCGTGGGCCCCACGCACAGTGGAGCTGGAACCGACAGGAGGGAAGGGGCCAGCCTGCAGCCGCTCCTGGCTGCGTGTCTTGGAAAGGATCGCAGATGTGTTTATCACTGGCTCCCTCCTCCTGCTGTGAGGAGGCAAGACCCAACCTGACCACAGGCTCTGGGGCTGTTGGCAGCTGGTGCGAGAGCAGAGGAGGAGGGGAGGGCGGGGGGGGTGCATCCCGGGGGTGGTGGCAGGCCCAGTGAGGGGGCTGCAGGGGTGCCCGCCGACTCAGCCGGCAGACCAGGCAGGATAAATGCCGTGGGGCGGGGGCACCCTGTCCTCGCGGGTCTCAGTCTGGGTCCGAGCCCAGGCAGAGCCAGGCCTCACCTGCAGGGGTGGGCCACGGGGCTGGGGAGGCCCTGCCCTGCATTGCCCACCCTGTCTGTCCAGTGCAGTTGTGTGGTCTGCAGGGTCAATCGAAGACAGAGATGGGAGAAGCTGGCACGTCCTCTAGGGGGTGATTTTAGAATCACAGTCTCTCCCTCTCTTGGAATTTCAGGGCCGTAGTATTTGGGAATTGAAATCAGACTGTTCAGGTCGGGATTTAGACTATTAGGTTTACACCCTTACGTGTGGGGTTTGGAATCGGGAAAATTGGGAGGAAGAGAGACATCAGAAGCAGTGACTTGAAATATTTGGGTGGCAGAATCTTTGTGGCTTTGAGTCGTTTCTTTCCAGCCTTTTGGGGCAGTGAGATGAGCTCGCCGCGCTGCTTGCCCTCAAGATGCTCAGGCTCGTGAGAGAGGCGGAGAGCAGCAGACGTGGTGGCAGGAGAGCACAACATAGCGGGGTGCATTAGAGCCCAGAGGAGGCGCGGTTTCTTCTTGGAGACGTCTGGATACCTCTAGGGGCAAGAAGAAGGGCCCCCCTTAGTAGGGCTTTAAAGGATAGGTAGGAGTCCTCTAGGTGGACAGAGCAGGTGGGAGGGAGGGTGGTTCAGGGAGAAGTAACAGCATATATAAAAGCACGAAGTTCTAGAAAAGCATGGACGGAGGCGGGTGGACCCAGCATGTCTGGGAAGCAGGTGGATTATGGGCAATGAGGCTGCAGAGGGGCTGGGCCAAAAGCAGGGCCTTGAATGCCAGGCTCAGGGTAGGGCTTCCCCTCAGGCTGGTGTTTCCTGAAGAGGCTTTGGAGTGGAGAGTGCTGTGGGCGGGTTTCTGGCCCTCTCTGCGACCAAGTGGAGAACAGCGTGAAGGGGGCAGGGTGGCAGCTGCCGCCCCAACCCAGCAGGGGCCACGGGTGGGCGGGAGGCACAGCTGTGCAGGCGGCAGAGTAGGCAGGACCCACCTTGGGTCGCCTTTGGGGTAGATAGCAGGTGCCGCTCCTCGCTGGGGTAGGAGC